ACAAATCTTACCTTAGCAATGGAGGTACGGGGAAGAGGAGAAGAAGAAGAGCAGAGAACCCACTTTCCAGACTTATCATTTTTCCCCAACTCATCACTAATAAACATCTCTAAAAGAAATTAATATTAAATTCATTTCCTTCTAAAAGACCATAATACCCCTCTATTTCTTCCATCCTTAATAATAAGTCTTAAACATAATTTCCTAAATCAGTCATTGTACTTTTTAATTTATTCAAATTAAACCACTAAATTTAAAATCCTTACATTATATTCACTGACCCGATATTTGGGGTATTAAAATGTGTCCCCTCAAGTTTAACTCAGTCAGCATAAATATGTGATTGGTTTAGGATCAAAGGCCTGGCAGGCCCTAGGAAGCAGCGACAAGGAGAGCTCAAGTCCCTTTTATATAACTAAACCTTATTGCAGCGCGAGATTAAAGTCTACTCCAAAACCATATGGAAACCCTAGGATGATTGTTTACTTACGCTTTTGTTTTAATTTTATTGTTCTAAGCATGCAAACTATAAATACATGGTTTAGGATTTATTTTTCTGTCAAAAAGCATGTGGGATAGAAAACCATGATCGGGTAGGAACAAAAGCATATGGGGTAGATATCATGCCCGGTAGGAATTGTTATAATATTAAATTTAATTATTAAATCATTGTACTAACTCATTTTATTTTTTTTATTTTTTTCCTTTTTCTTTTTTATTTATTATCATCTGCACTATTTCATAGAGGTGTTGATCTACAAAATGTTCATAAAACTCCATATAGTCTTCATTAATGGACAAAGGGGTTGTGATACAAGAGGTCAAAAATACAGAAGTACGGCTATGGTCAAAGAAGACTCAGAAGGAAAAAACAGACAATTTATCGGGCAGTTATGTGTCAGGGTTAGCATATTACGGTTCAATCAGCCTCAAACACGACATTCAGGAACTACGGAACATTTGGGACATTTGGAAGGATAAGAAAGAAAAGAATTTCTACCAACGCTATGAATACATTGCATATCTATTGTATGTTAAGGTGTATGAACCTTTGATCTAGGCACTAGTCTAATTCTGGAATCTGGGGTATAATTGTTTCACCTTCAATAAAGAAGATATGGTGCCTACGATAGAAGAATACATGAGTCTATTACACTGCGAGGTAATCCAACTAGATTGAGTCTTTATCAAGATTGTCAATAGTCCACCTCTTAAGAATAGACTAGCAAAGATTGACGGAGTAGATGAAAACTGAGTGGTCGACTGTATTAAACATAATGGCGAAGGAGAAAGAATTGCTTGGATCTACATCAAGCAACTGATAAAGAGTTATCTCGATGAGTGAAAGGTGATAAATCTCTTCACTTTGGGGATTTATAGCATGTTCATCTTCCCGAAGACTTTGGGATATATTAAAACGGATGTGGTTGAATTATTAGAGCAACTACCCAAAAGGTTGAACCCTACGCCGGTAATCCTAGCGAAATGTTTCAGTTATTGAAACATTGTCGAAGAGTGGGATGAGGCTGATTCATAGGTTGCGTACAGTTACTACATGTCTGGATCCACAACCACTTTTGGAAAACTAATGGGATTTCTTATCGGTGGTGCAGTGTGTCGTATTCACCTTTAGAAGATTTCCTCGCACAAGAATGGTGGGAAGGTGTCCTGAGAGAAAGGTGGTCAAAGATGTTCACACACCTTCAGGATAAAGAGATTGTACGACAAGTCCCTTGGTTAGCACGGATTGATATAATCTACATGTGTAGAGATTCGGACATAGTGATACTACTCGGACTATGGGGGAAAGTTGACTACACTCCACTTTTAGCTTTGCTACAGTATAGTGCACGACAGTTTGTTCCAATCACTCGTGAGCTTTGGAAGTCCAAGTTCGCATATCATGAGATCTTTAATAATAGTTTACACTTAATGATATTTCAAAAATCATTTTATATAATCTAATATATAATTTAATAAAATTATTAATCAATAAATAAATCATTTAACAAAATAATTTAAATAAAAGAATTAATAATTTAAAATTATTATTATTAGTTGTATAAAAAATAAACATTTATTTATTATAATTTACACATATAGAAAGTAATTTTTTTAATTTAATGATCATAATTAAACTTATTATTCTATTGGTTATAATTAATTATGTGTCTTAAATGGTGAAGAATTATTTTTTAATATATTTATCAATCACAAATTATTCATTTAATTAAACTTTTGAATATATTTATATATTACATTATAAAAAATAAATTTTATTAATCTAATTAAATGGTGAAGAATTATTTTGTTAATTGTCATATTATAATATCAGTTGCCAGTTAAAAGTTTACAACTTACAAGTAGGGATAAAAAAAACGGGTATAATTTCTAGATTCTGCACCGTACCAGCTCTAATTGGGGCGGAGATGTGTATAATTTTAGTAGGTAGTGGGCGAATCTGGATTTAGAAAGTGGTACCCGTCGCGAGTAGTGGGCGCGGGTGATGGGTTTGACATTTATGTGTGCCAAAGAAAAAAATATTATGTGTTTGTCATTTATGTTTCTAGGCTTTAATTATGTCTTTTATTATGGTGTTTTATGTACTTTAAGATCTATGTTAACACTTAACTCAAATAATCTTTGGTTTATTTTATTATGTTTCTTAATGGACATGTTTGTTTTATGTTTGTTGCTTATGTATAACTTAAGGTTGTTTATGTATAACTTAAGGTTGCTGTCAGGCGGGTCTAGTCGGGTACGTCTCTAGTTTGGTAGTGGGTGTGGGGATGAATTTGAGAATATACCAACGTGGGCGGGTGTGGATTCGAAAAATTTTACCCATCATGGGTGGTGGGGCAGGTGGTGGATTTGAAAATATTAGGTGGGTATGGAGATGGGGGAGGGGGTATCCGCACCCGACCTGTCCGTTTGCTATCCCAACTTAGAAGTCAAGTAAATATCAAGTTATATATATATTGAAATTTTAAGTTAAACTACTAATCAATTATTACACCATAATAATGATTCAAACTTACTGATATTTAAAATTATTTTATATAATATAATTTATAATTTAATAAAATTAATAACCACTAAATAAATTATTTAATATGGTAAAATTCCATTCAAACCCCTCTTATTTCTGTTTTATTTTGAATGGTTAAATTGCATAGAAAAACCCATAGTTTGTCCTATTTATATTTTTAGACAAAAGTACGTTTATGTTTTAATATACATGGTTAAACTACACCACCCACCCCCGTACTTTTGTTTTAATTTAAATGGTCAAATTGCATGCAAACCCTCTCCCTTTCCACTGTTTAGATTTTATACTTCTAGGTTTTAAATATTCTATAATTTGTACTTTATTTTTATTACTTTTGTTTTAATTTAAATGGTCAAATTGCATACAAACCCTCTCCCTTTCCACTGTTTATATTTTACACTTCTAGGTTTTAAATCTTCTATAATTTGTACTTTATTTTTATTTTGTTAATTAATTTTGAATTTACTCTTTGATTTTAAATAAAAATATTATTAATAATTTTTATGCATTATTTTTTATTAGCATTAATTTCATATCATTTTATATTATTTGTTATCATTAATTTTAATAATTTGATACTTAAGTTTTCTTGATATTAATTGTGATTATTTGAATCATGATAATATTATTTTTGATACGTAAATTTTAGTATTGAAAATTAATTTTAATTTTTACCATTTAAATTAAAACAAAAGTATGGGGGTGGGTAGTGTAATTTAACCATGTATATTAAAACATAAACGTACTTTTGTCTAAAATATAAATAGGACAAACTATGGGGGTTTTATGTAATTTAACCATCCGAAATAAAACAGAAATAGGAGGGTTGGAATAGAATTTTACCATTCAAAATTAAAACTCAACCTCACCGTGCAATTCAATGGATATTGCACGATGGAAACAGGGGCGCACCGGCGGAATTGCTGCACGACTTTTCCTGGGCAGCTGACTATTGTGCGACTGTTGGGTGATGGCAATTTGGGCGACGATAAATCGTCTTATTAGATTTGTAATATAATATTTTCAACTAATTTTTCACCGTGTTTTCCGGCGAGTTAAGGTTTCCATCACTGACTATCGTTTATGGCCATTCTAAACAAATTAATTTACTTAAATTAATTATTACTTTTAATTAAAAAATATTATTAATTATAATTCTATTAAAAGCAAAAGTAAATTTTAATTAAAGATTAATTTTTAAAAATCCAATATTTTTATATTTACATAATAAGGACAAATTTAGTTGTGGTGTGTTTCGATACGTCTTTAGTGATACGTTGCGATATGCGATATGCGCTGTAGCATTTTCCATAAGTTGGATCATTTACAGGTTAAGTAAATTACATGTTAGGTCGACAACAGGTCAGGTAATATCAGTTATTTACTAGGTTAGTCTCGGGCTCATGTTCATATCAAGTCAGATGCAGGTCGGATTCGATTATCATATTATCGATTCAATTCGGGTTCAAGTCGTTCTGAGGTTGGGTACAGGTCAAGTGCATATCCAAAATTTCCAGGTTCAACTCTAGTTCGGGTTAACACCAGTTCGAACTCAAATCGATTTCGAGTCACCACCACCTCAGATCACAAACAGTTTTGACTCAAGTCGATTTTAGTCAGTTTTACAATTCGGATCAATTTTTTACATCCTAGAAAAAAATGCATAAAATTTAAGAAGGTGAAGACTTGAAAAAAATACGACGATAGTTTTTGAAAAAATCTCAAATATTTTTTTAAAAAATAACTCAATAAAACCTAATCAGATCAAAATTAGTCGAGTTAATTTTTTTTTCCCTAATCCTAATTGACCTCAATCTTATTTCAAACATAAATGGGGATATTAGGAAAGTTCAATAATGGAAAAAGAAATTATTCAATTGGTTTATTACTTCCACGTTTTTCTCGACATTCCAAGTTCAACCTAAGGTACACTAATCTCAACTCTCTTAGGGGTAGCAAGAATATATTTTATACACACTGGTATTACATAGATATGAAATAACCATACACATTCGTATGCTTTACTTCTTTTACAAGAAACTTTCAAGCAACGATGGTGAAGAACAAAGAAAAATATTAGGTAACAAATTCCATTGCTTGAAACGAAAGCAAACTAGCAGATTGGAAGAGGGGCACCGTTCCATTCCTTGAGACACTCCAGCATTGGATCAATGATCTTCCCTTTGCACATTGCAGTGAACACCTTGTCAAACTCCTCACCAGGTGACTTCACCTTTTCTCCTGTTAGCAGCCCAGTTCCAAGCTCCTCCCTCACGAATTTGTACAACGGATACGATCTGCAGTCCTCAATCTTGTTCGGAATTGCGGCATTTCCGTTCTCGAGTGACACCCTTGCACTCTCAACCTCCTTTGGCAAAACAGCCTTTAATTCATCTTCGAAAGCTGCAATCTTTTGGAAGATTGAAGTACTCGTATTCTTCTCGTTCTCACCGTTCGCCAATGCATTCTCGACAAGAACTTGCCTCAGCTTTTGCATCAATGGATAGGTAGCACTGCAAGGGTCATCGATATAGGTGAAAACGTATTCACGATCCACGGCTTTGAGTAAATCCTTTTCACAGAATCTTGAAGGGTGAAGTTCACCGTTGGCACCGGTAGTGAGTGTTTTCTTAGCTATCTGGCTCACGGTGTTCTTCACTGTGTTCCTCAAATTCTCTTCTAAATGCCTCAAATCAATAGCTTGACAAAGTGCCACCAAGAATGTGGAGGACATTAGCTTCAAGATATCAACAGCTTCTGCAGTTTTCCTTGAAGAGATTAATCCCAAGGAGTTCACATCTTGGTTGTGTTGCTCGGCGCTTTGAACATGGCTGGTGACTGGATTAGCCAAGTATTGGAGTTCGGAACAATAGGAAGCCATTGCGATTTCAGCACCCTTGAAGCCATAATCTAGACTTGGATTCCTACCACCAGAGAGGTTTGATGGGAGGCCATTGTTGTAGAAATCATTAACAAGTTCAGAGAATTGAGCAAACATGAGTTTTCCAATTGCTGCGATAGCCAAACGAGCATTGTCCATCGAGACACCGATTGGGGTACCCTGAAAGTTGCCACCATGTAATGCCTTGTTCCTTGAGACATCGATCAAAGGGTTATCATTGACAGAGTTAATCTCTCTTTCAATTGATTTGGTTGCAAATCTGATCACTTCAATCTGTGGACCAAGCCATTGTGGAGATGTCCTCAGAGCATATCGGTCTTGTTTCGGTTTCTGCAAAGGGTCCATTTCATGCAATTTCTTAGCCGCTTTAACGTAAGAGCTTCCCTCAAGTATGTGTTCCATTATAGCAGCGGCCTCGATTTGTCCCGGATGGTGTTTCAATTTATGTGTCAAGTGGTCAGTGAACTCTGGTTTACCGTTCATGACTTCAGCAAAAATTGCAGATAAAATTTCTGACAAAACAGCCAATGTGTTTGCCTCAAAGAGAACCACGGAAGCCAAGCCTGAACCAACTGCAGTACCATTGACTAGAGCAAGTCCTTCTTTAGGTTGCAACACAAAGAAACCGGAATCAATACCGGCGACACGAAAGGCTTCTTGGGCATCAAGGGGTTCCCCATGGGGTCCAACTGCTTTGGAATTTGGCCTGCCGGTTAGCAATCCAGCAATGTAGGAAAGAGGGACAAGATCACCAGATGCAGTAATTGTGCCACGAAGTGGCAAACAAGGGGTGACGTGGTGGTTGAGAAGCTTGGTGATTGCCTCCAGAATTTCGAACCTGATCCCAGAGTACCCTTGGAGTAGTGTGTTGATCCTAACAAGCATGGCTGCTCGAGTTGCTGAGTGAGCAAGTGTGTGGCATGACTCGGTCCCATGGCCAAAGATCCCAGCATTCAAGAATCTGTACCAACGAAACACATTCAATTTATATCGAATAAATACAACCAATATCTTCCAGTTTGTGATATAATTACAGCCTTATATATCAACTTTGGCCCACAATATTTTGTTCATGTTCTTTCTAGAAATAGTTGGGCCTCCTGGATAACTTATTATAGTTAGTAGTACGTATTTCCATAGAGTCTTACCTAATTAGTTCTTTCTGAAGGGCAGCTCCTTGGTTGGTTCTTCGATGAGAAGTAGCACCAAAACCAGTAGTAACACCATAGCTGTCAGTGCCTTTGTTCATGCCATCAAGGACCCAATCAGCGCTGGCCTTAACGCCAGCCCTTGCATCCTCCGAAAGCTCAACCTTGACACCCAAGTCACGTGTAGCAATGGCTGCAACTTGAGAAATCGTCAAGGTCTCACCACCGAGCTTCACTGATGGCCGCCTATACTCAGCCACCATACGTTTCACTTCATCCAAATGGCTCCCCTTGAGCGACTCAGCTGCAACACCCCAGTTCAAAGGATCACCCTTGGTAGTGGTACTAGTAGTAGTAGTCGTGCAAAAACTCTCCAAAGTGCTGCTTTGTTGACTAATTTGAGTGGTCGCCTCCATGTTAAAAATTGCAGAAATGGTGGAAATAAGAATGATCCAGAAAAGAACTCGAGATCTTTAATCAAAATACGAAGGCTTCTGGTTGTATAAATATAGAAGGGTGGTATAAATAGGTAAGGAATAGTGGGAGGTAGGTAAGGGTAAACCAAGGGGGGTTGGTGGAGATTTAAAAATGGCCGTCGATCAATAAATGATCCAAAGGTGGTGAAAAAGTTTGACCGGTTAAAGTGGCGGTGGCTGAGGCTGGCTGGTTGTGGGTTGGGGTTGGTGAGGATTGAGGACAAAACGTATGAACGCGTGATGTGTATGAAGCTTATAATGTTTTCAACCCCACCCTTCATTTCAACCACCATGCATAATCACTACCACTTCTTTTCAAACTCTTGACTTCATTAGTCTTCATAGTGATGCCAATTTTAATATGCACGTATTTTAAACATTTTTAAGATTCAATTAAAAATATATATTTAATCATTTTTGATGTTTATGTGAGAAACAACATATGAATATCATTTCAACTTCAGTAATTAAATTATAATATGATTTATATTTGACATTATGATGTAATATATTCGAAACGATCTTTAAGTTTGAGACGATTTTCAACTAATTTTTTGGAAAAATGTATAAAAGTGTGGATTGATTTTAAAAATAAAGATTTGGAGTCATCATCGATAATTTAAAGTTATGTATGATCGAACACTTATAAAATCATATCTTGAGAAGAAATTTTGAAAATCTTCTTTTAAAAGATAATTTCATATATGTGCACCCCACAACACTCGAATTGGTACATAATCAATTACATGTTATCTAAGTATTAAAATTTTATATATATATGTGTTGAAAAATAATAATTTATTTGAATAAAATTAATGTTAGTTCTAATAAGTTATATCACTTGGTGAATAGACTTATTATAATAAGTCATATCACCTGTGAATAGACTTATTTATTGGTTTAAAGTTGCATCTATTTAATTATATCTATTAGTTTTTCATCAAATCTTTTCATCAAATGGTCTTAACTATTAATCTTTTGATTAATTTCATCTCCTCTATATATAGGATAGTTAAGGCACAAATCTTAGAGATACGAGTTACAATACACGAGTTTAGAACTTTGTAATAGGAAATCACTTAGAAAATTCCTTCCAAATCTATTCTCTCCCGTGATAGAGAAAAACAATATTGTGTTCAACTGATCACTACGGTTGTACTTACCATAGTGATCGTTTGTTGTTGTAACTTGGGAGATTGACATTCAACGTTACTCAAAGCACCGAGGAGATGATGAATATGTCTTAAAGAAACTGTTCTATTTATTCGACTCTACTTACCCGACATACGAGTAAATCAACTTCGTTCTTAATTTAATTCTTTATTTGTGTTGCTTCATTCGACTATATGATAATATATATATATATGTTTATTTATTATTATTTTATTTTTCAGATTAACATTCTGTCTAACCATATGAATATAAATTCAAAACATTATTCTTTATAATAATATGATTTATATTTGACACATTGCGTAATTTGATTTATATCTAATACGTTAACATAATAGTAACTTTATACAATATACGTTAACTTACTCTGAATTAATAAAAAAATACAATTTAAATTACACACTATTAAATATTATGTCACTTTAATTTATTTTATATTTTTAATAATTTCATTATTTTATTCGTTAATCATAAACAAAATTATATATATATGTGTGTGTATTCGTTAATCTACCATTGTGTTGATTTATTTTATTTTTATTTCAATTCAAAAAAATATTAATTTTTTATTGATATTTATGTTGTATGCCAGTTATTATATTTTAATTTTTAAACAAATAAATCTACAGTTAAAAGTTGTGAAAATTATGGAATAAATTGAAACATTAAATAAAGAAAAATATCACAAATAAATGAATATTATGCACATATATAAATGAATAAAATATGTAAAATGAATAATTAATATGTAGAAAATTAAAAATATATACATGAAAAACAATGAAACCTGACACAAACTAATTTTCTTTTCTTTTTTAATTTTACAATCAAACTATTTTTTTCTTTCTTTTGTTTTTTACAATCAAACTATTTTTCTTTTTATATTATCAACAACCTTAAGGAGTTAATGGCTAATGATCTATGTTGTATTAGGGGCGCTAAAAATTACTCGATTTATAATATTTGATAAGTTGATGTATTGGTTCGATTAAATGTTATTGAATATTTTTGGCAAGAGGCACCCGAGGTCCTGAATTTTTTAAAAAAACTATTGTGATTCTCATCCTATTTTTTGATCAATGTGATCCAACTCAGGGGAAAAAATTCAATGTAACTTTTGATCAACGTTTTTCGTCGTTGGCCAACGAAACCGTTAATTCATACTGTTTTAAATTGGGTAAATTATACCATTCATCACTCTACTATTTTTTTTCTTCTATTTTAGTCACTAAACTCTAAAAGTTTTCAATTTCAGAAACTTTAGATACTTCAGAGACTAAGGCTGCAGTTAAACCATTTTCTTTTAAACACAAAACTCACCCCTTCTCTGTAACTGAGAGAAAAACCAAGATTCAAAAAATAATTTCCATGGCTGAAATCATCATTACCCGAAGCAACAGAAATTTGGGCAGCCAAACCCTGTTTGTCTCATTTGTTCATTCACTTTCAACTTAAAACCCATCAGCAAAGGAACAACAAAATCCCTCGTTTATCAAAGAAAATGTTAATAGCTCTCAGTGTTACTTGCTCTTCATTGAGTATAGCCATCACTCGTTGTTTTGTTTATGGATTTGTTACAAAAAGAATTCACTTAAACCCATAAAAAATAATGGCAACAGCTCAGGTATGCTCTCTTGAGCCAATGCTAAGTTCATTCTATTGTTCATAGTTTCTGGGTTTCTGAGAGTGCACCTAAGAGTTGATTCTTTTGTGATTAGATACTGAAAAAGGGATTGCTTTGGCACCATGTCTTGTTCTTCTTCTTCTTCTTCTTCCTCTACAAAGATGTAAAACAGTTTTCTTCTTCTTCTTCCGATAAATAATTTTTGGCACCATAGCTATCAAAAGGTGTAAAACAGCTCAAAATTTGAGCCTCAAATTATAAAGATAGCTCACTATCCCCCTCTGCAAAAGGTCGGTTTTTTTTTTTGCCTTTTTTTTTACTTATATTAGAACATTTAAATAATGGAATTTACGGAAATGATCAGTTCTTAAAAATTATAGGAAGAAGAAGAACGCGGCCGGATCCTCAGGCGGGTTGGATTTTTTTGTTTTTGTTTATTATTTTAAAAATACTTAAAATTCTATAAATGTGACATTTGTCATTGGGGTTTTTGGGTTATGATTAAATTGATAATTTTTAAAGTTTAGTGACTAAAATGAGATAAAGTAGATAGTTGAATGATGAATTATATATTTTATCCAATTTAAACAGCATTAAACAGAAAAACACTAAACTGCTTGATGTGCCACTTCAGTTGAAAATAACAATTATGTTTGTCCAGAAAACGTTGATTTGGGTTTTTTGAATTTTTTTTTAATGAGGGGTGCAACACGAGGACTTCACATGAGGTCACCTATCCTAGTACAATTCTCCTCCAAATACGCTTAACTGTAGAGTTCTAATGAAATCCGATGCATTAGTACTGGTATGATCACCCCTCATACTCGAACATTAAAATCTCTTAAAACAAGTACCCAATTACTCGGCTCCTCATTTTTATTTTCAATTAAATTATTATTATTATTATTATTATTATTATTATTATTATTATTATAATAAAACTCTCATTCTCATGTATTCTTAAATTATTTCCCCTAAATCCCTAAAATTCTATGTTTGAATTATATAATTTAAATTTTCAAATTTATTCGTCTGTTCATTTTTTAGAATTCTAAAAATAATTAAATTAATTGATTTATAAAAAAAATCAAAATTGATAACATGTCATGTACCATGTTATTTGAATTAACGGGTATTTGAATTTTACATATATCCGAATATCATGGGCGACAACACAGACCAGCTGTTTTGATGCCCCAAAAAACTAAGTATTTTGTATATGTCATTTTGGTCCTTGATATTTATTTATATACCATTTTGGTCCCTGATATTTGAAAATATGCAAATTGATCCCTTTCTTTGTTCATATCGTATAGAATATTTTAGTTTTACACCTTTTTAGAATAATTGAATGAGTAAAAAATATACGATTTAGATTAATAGTAGGAAATGAGAATATATATATATATATATATATATATATATATATATATACACAATGTAAAACTCTTAGTTTTACACAGATTTAGGACCTTTAGATGAGTGAAAACAGATGATTGAGATCAAAAGTAGGAAATGTAAAGATGTTTACTGGTAAAAAAGAGAGTCAATCTCGGCCATTTATTTTAACCCATCCAACAATCCTAAATCTGTATAAAACTAAAGAGAGAGAGAGGGGAGGGGGAGGGGGGGAGAGAGAGAGAGGATTTGTTCACATCGTATAAAACTTTTTAGTTTTACACATTTTTAGAATAATTGAATGAGTGAAAATAAACAATTTAGATTAATAATATGAAATGAGAATATATTTATAGAAAAAAAGAAAATAATCAAAACAGTCTAATTCCACTTATTGAACAATCCAAAAAAAAAAAAACTAAAAATTTTATGCTATATGTATAGCTTAAAAATCTATAAGAACTTCAAATTATTAAATTTTAAAACCATTGCAAAATAATAAATCCAATGTCTTCAACAAAGAAAGTATTGAAACTGAAGTATTTTGTTTTCTCTTATTTAGACTTAAAACAGTTTTTAAATTTATGTGTTTTAACTTGGAATATTGTCATATTGTTAAAAATATTTTAATTTGACAAATTTTTAAAATTTAACTGAAACAAATTTATTTAATTTAGCTCGAATATCATTGCATTAGACTTAGATTGAAATTTTTTAAATTGAGTTAGGATGATTATCAATTCATCTAATTTGAATGATTCAACTTTATTCGATCGAATATTCATCTTTAAATG